TGAAGTGCGTTCACTCACGGCACAGGTGACATTATATAGCCAGAGAGCTAGCATGGTGATGGCTGGACCCGACCCGCGGATGACACGAAAATATGTCCAATCAATAATTCTCGGCGCGCAACCGTGACGAGGTACGCTGTTATGGTTCACAAAGGGAGCATCAACCCAAACACGGAGCCAGTCTATGGACTGTCGTGAGATCGGTAGCCGGAAATGAATAGAACTATTTTACAAACACTCGGAGATCGTGCCACAGCAGCGTACCTTTATTTGGGTTACAAGTAAGTGAAATGAATATGTAGTCATGGACCAACAAACTGGGATTGTGGATTCTGAGGTCGGTTCCGAGATGGCCCCCTCATGTCCTACTGTTCTTGGCGGTTCGATTCCCCGGTACGGAAGGGTCGTGCCTTGAAAGGCCTCTCCCCACGAACACGTTTCAAGCCCATCGATAGTTTGTCAACCTGGTACGTCGCCGGATTCACGAGCTTACACTGCCTGTGATCGGAGTCCATTTCTCGGCTGGAATATGCTGGTATGACACCGTGATTCCCTTAGCTAGACCAATTACGGACTGCGGATTTGGCGTCTGTAAATGTTTTCTGTTGTACGCGTTACTCAGAGGAGTATAGATAGAACTCGTCGCCGCCGTAAAGTGTCCGGAAGGTTCCTGTCTGATATGTGAATCGACCGAGAAATCAGAAAAAAGACAAATGATAGGATCATTTGCATTTCTTCAGCTGGAGAGCGAGATGAGAGGGTGCAAGTTGAAGGTACATTCATGATCGGCCCAGATCGGGACAGTCCGTCTAAAACCAAAAATGGCAGTATCAAATCATCCGCCGCCACGATCCCTTCAAAGTTCGAAAGTCAAAGCCAAGTTTTAAAGGCTTTATACGTTCAAGTGCACATGACAACAGGCCGCGCCCAGGCAAAGAACCCCGAATGATGCCCTGATGAGCATATGCATGCGCTTCCGAAGAGTCTCACGTCCCCAAATTATATATCCAATGACATCTTGCTAGTGTCCTAATCCTCCCAAAATTAGATATTCACAAAGGACGACTATTCCTCGGAATGATAGGTGTAGTATGTATTCAAAAATCATTGCAAGCAGGGACATATGATCCACCGGATGACAGTCGTCCGTATGATAGCCAGCCGGAAAACTGGGTACAGATTACACATTCCAGCATAAGTAGATAACGGGGGTGCGAAGCGTCGTTCGGAACGTGACGCCGTTGACTAAAAGGATATGACTGGACCAGACATAGAGATGTCTCTTTTGATGGAGACTTCGCGACCGCCACGACAAAAGAAGGCACTGAGGTATGACAGGACAATAGCATTAACGACAGCATCCATCTACAGCTGACACGACACTTGTTCAGTGTGCCAGAAATCCAGAGCCGTGGAAATACTAGCAAAATGTGCCAGGGCGGCTATCACAACACATACATGGAATATTTGGTGCGAAGAAAAGAAGTAGTCGAACTTCCCTGGCGAGAACCTTTCTGGGATACGATTTGCACTGAAGAGGAAACTTGTCAGTCTGCCTATCTTGACAATCAGAAGACGGAACCGTACTAAAGTAAGCCCCCCGCGATGTATAATCCGCCCGAAAACAAAAGCCAATTTAAGCCCATATCTGAGAAAAGCTTCAAGAAGCCATGGGTAACCAATGCGTGACACACGGGAATAATCCCAGTTAGTCCTAAACCGATGAATACGCTCGTTCGCAGACCGCGATGTGTGGCACGAGCATATTCAGGTTGGAGAACAACGTACGCCGCGCCTGGAATGGGCGGCGAATATTAGCCTTCATAGCTTGAGAAAATATGGAGTACCCCACTGACCGAGACCGGCAGCTGTGAGCAGCGAAATGTACGTCACTTGGGCATAGGGACTGCAGAACAAGCCGTAATATATAGATGGGTAAAAGGATCCCAAGATGAGTACAACGATCCCCGAATAGTCGAATGCTACACAACGCGATGCTACCTATACCGAGCGAGGTGTGAAGTTGACCCAAACCGGAAAGAAATCAGAGGTGCTGTACCTCTTTGGAATGGCAGATGGATGTGTGAAAGAAGGCACTTGCACCTAGACAGAACACTGCCGAAGACAAGAACGTCACGAAAACGAATAAGTCAATCCACGTCGTTTTCGGGTACGATTCGAGGAAGCTGGGGTGAAATGTAATAAGAAAATAAAGGAACAAGGCCGCGCCCCAGAGATGGCTGTGGATATTGACTAGCGGGGATGTTGAGTGGCCGCATACTTTAGCCTGGCAGGTAACATACTTACCAGTTTCGTTGTGCAAATCTGTACAGTATGGAAGACGGGCGGAGAAGAGAATGGGGATTGGTAACAATGAGCTGATTTCAACTCAAAAAGTTTGTCGGCCAGCGGACTCACACCCAAAGACAGAATGGAAGCATCCCCGCCAGTGATTTTGAGCTCTATTTGCGTTTCAAACTCAGTCCCGGAAACAAAGAGATAAGCACAATGGTCGCATCGTACCTTCGATACCCAGAGACGATATACTCGTTATCTCTCATCCAGACAGGAACCTCGTGGATATGGAGCGTTTTGGAGAGATTTGGCATTCCAACGTGAAGGTCTGGAACCAGCGCTGTCGCCTCAGACAGCCTTCGTCTTACGGCCATAGTAAATGTATCTGCCCCCGTGAGCACTGAAGATCTGAGATGGGGGGAAACCGTGTCGTAGTCGGAAAATGCCAAATGCCAACGTCGGGGGTATCGTGGTCCCTGTTGATAAGAGAGAAAATTGTCAACCTAAATTTCCGGGTATAGAGCCGACGGGGAATGGCAACGGAATCCGCGTCGCAGCCGATGGGGTAAAAAAACGAAAAGGACAGAAACGCCACGTGTTCATGATCGACTGCCCCAAATTTGGGACGCTGTGCCGCAGCCTAACCCCAGCCTTAGGATTGATCCAGGGTTATCGAGAAATGAATTCAAAGTACGCCGTTTCCCTTGTCTTTGCTGTACAAGACGTGTCGTCTCGTGTTAATTCGGCTTAGAATCCTATAAAATGCAGCGTGACAAGTCCAATGTACAATGAAAAGTGTTTACAAAGCAAAGCCGTATTTATCGGACGAGCACTTACTTGGCGCAGCTCATACTTGCTATTGCTTGTATACCTGTGGAATTTGAAAGTTTTATCGATCGTGACCGTTGGCGAGCACTGACGAACCTTGGAATTCTCTCGAACGGCAGATATAAATTTTGTTTCCGCCCAAAAGTGACGGTTCAATCAAAATTCAATTTGCAACAGATACATACTCGATAAAAGCCCAGTTACCTTCGAAAGCAATCTGTAACGGCTCCACTATATAATATTTGCGCAACAACGGTGGAGTGAAGCCGACGCGTGATAGCTTGAACATTGATCGTGACTCAGACAAAATCCGTGAAATGGAATTTTTACCATTCCACGCGATCTAAGTATTCGTTGAAAGCGTGGAAAGTTATACAATATAAATGCTTTATGATATAGCTTGTCGATGATGAAAAACATTTGTCATAAATTGAACGCTGCATTTCAGACAACGAAACGGCAATTGGTTGCGGGGTCGTAGTAAGATTCAAGATTCAAGATTTTCGCGGGAGCATTACAGAAATCCTCGGAAATTTATCGACAGCGGTAACCTTTCTCCGGGTAGACCATCTCAGTTGGCCGTGAATCCAGAGGTACTCTGAGGATTGAAGGGTCGGATCACTTCACGTGGATGATCTGTGATCGATGGTGATCTTGCTGGGTAAGTTACTCGCCAAGTACTTGGGTAATAAATGTTCTGCACAAAGTGCGAGTCGTGACCGTTCCCAACCATTCAGTCAAACGACATGGTGGAACCTGGGGACGAGAAATCCAGCCGCGCGTTGCCATGGGTAGCATGCCTAACATCACAATTGACTTTCTGGCAGAACACACGGCGCGTCTATGTATTACAGATCAGGGTGAGTAACAGTAAGCGCTGAACTCACACAAGAACTTATGGCATTTCGGTACCGTTTTGAATGATTGAAATGCAAGGGGTCCAGCAACCGGCCAGCCCCACCATGTTGGAGCAAGTTCCTGATTTAACGGCATTTAATTAAGGGGGTGAGAGGATGGTTATATGTCCTGCAAATAGGCGTCCTGCCGCGTACGGTACCTTCAGGCCTGTTCAACCCTGCAGTGACGCCATCGGAATTTAGAATTGTACCCTAGACCCTCGACGCTGTCGTCACCCGATTGAATGACAATTCTTCACGTCCGATACTTATCCTACACGCCTTGAGTTTGAGATGCGCCCCCTGGTCTCTCGCATACCTCGCATGTACCGAATAATATTACCTCGTTATTTAGGTGCGACGTACACTGGTGCGTCTCGTGGTAGCTGACGGGATCCGTACGTTACACCTGCGCTTATGAGGAGCCCGCCTCGTGTAGTTCATGATACGTACATCCATTGACTAAACCTCGCCGATAGAACGTATCACTATCGCCGGACGTTGTGCATAAGATGGGGCTAACAGAAAATAAAAGAGAACATGCCCTAGGGCAATACAAAGAATCGGAGAAACACGAAAAGCACCGAAGGCACCTGCCGAGGTTCCCACCAACGACCGCGGTACCGCACAATAGACTCGATTACGGAAGTGACGAAGGATCCCACGTTTGTTACATGTTCTTGAACCAGGAGTTGATAGCTCGGAGCCTGATGGAAAAACAATTGAACCAACGTGTGAACGTAGATCTGTTGTGCCTTGTGAAAAAAAGGCAATAATAGCGAGGGCGAGGGAGCGAAACAGAGAGCGGATTGAGCGACAAGTAAAAATAACGCGAGATCTACGCCTACGATCTACGAAGACTTGTGTTTCTAGTATTGTAAGTGTCGCGCGTAGTCTGCCTCCCAGATGGTAGTACACAGTACTAGTCCAATGACGTCCAGCGGAAGTAGAGAACTAGTAATAGTCTCCTGCAACAATGTTGCTCTTTTAGCTCAGTGGTAGAGCGCGCCACTCGTATCCAAGGAATGGTGAGGTCAGTCGTTCAAATCGGCTATAGAGCTTATGACAGGTAAACGGAAACTCCTATACCTTTTGTTCTTAGTCCGGGAGGTTACGTGCCGCCAAGTTTAGCTTCCAGAGTCAAGATTCAAGTTCGAGTTCGAGACTTCGAGTGAAGTTTGACCCTTGAGTGTTAAACGTGGACGACTCACACAGACAAGTCTTTGACAAGAGATATCACCAGAGCGTTCAACAGGCTCGATGATCCATATTTGAGCCGGAGAAATTCCTCAAAGATGGAGGAGAATAATTCTTTCAAGGGGGATGTTTAGCGTGGCGCACCGTGGGACTTTGCTGACCAGCCACGTGTGAGCCATCCTCCTTCCATCCTAATCCCATCTGCGACCCATCGTAATGACGGACATAGAACAGCCATTCACGCGTGTACGATTGTATATCGATGTCCAGCAGAAATAAAGCCTGATTCTTCCATTCAGGTGCCGTATGAGAATTATCGCCGCGTATTTCGGACGTCCCAAAAGCACTTCGAAAGGGATTTTGGCGAGCTCATCAAGCGAACTACAACTGGCTCGGCGATAGGCACAGAGGAGATGGATGCTATGATAACGAGGGTAGAAGGGCTGAAGCGAAAGGTACGCTGGTTCCGTGTTCGACTCGGAACTTTGTACTTATCGCCCTGCAGCTCTCAGATTTGCACACCACGTCTGGTCAACCTACCCTCGATGTTATCCGGGAACGCCTTCAGCACCTTTCTGACCCGTTAACGTCAACTTCTACTCAGCTTGACCGTTGGCTTGTCGACTGGGCTCTGCGTACCGGCAAACCGCTGACTGCACGCTCCATAGCTCAGTCAAGGGGCATCGAGACGCTGGTGGATATAGATCTGTTCATGGACATGCATCGCATCGAGTCTGCCCTCTCAGAGCATAGATGTGCCGAGGCCTTGGCTTGGTGTAGCGAAAACAAGGCAGCATTAAGGAAAATGAAGAACACGCTCGAGTTTGAACTGCGACTGCAAGAATATATTGAGATGTGTAGACGGGGAGAGAAGCAGGACGCTATTGCGTACATGCAACGGTATATGACAGCATGGCAGGAAACGCACATGCCAGCCATCCAGCAAGCCGCCTGCCTCTTAGCTTTCGGACCGGGAACAACCTGTGGTGCCTACAAGGTACATGGATCAGTATTTTCATTCTTCCAATGGTTCTAAGATGTGTCTCGTTCTAGCGATTGTATGATCTGTCACGTTGGACGACACTCACCACGTCTTTCCGTTCTAGTGTTTACGCCCTCAACGCTTTCCCGACAGAACCTATACTATATCTAGCCCTCTACGCAGGTCTTGCTGCCCTTAAGCTTCCGGCATGCAACAACCACGACACGCGTAACGTCGACTGTCCTGTATGTGACGTAGGCTGGGGCGGGCGAGATCGCTCTGGTGACGCCAGAGAAGGCTTAGGGCTTGGATGCCTCGCAAAAGATGTCCCAATGAGTCATCATGCAAATTCAGTGATCGTCTGTCGGATCAGTGGAAAGATAATGGACGAGGACAACGGGCCAATGGCCTTTCCGGATGGGCATGTCTATTCGCGGGAGGTACGTACCCTTTCGTCGTCATCTTCTAGTCCAGAAGACATTGACGGAACTCGCAACTTGACAGGCTCTGGAAGATATGGCCGCAAGAAATAATGGCATTGTGACATGCCCTCGGAGCGGCACGACTTGTGAATTTAGCGCCCTACGGAAAGTGTTTATCTCATAATTGACACGGACATGACGGTTGCTCTCCGGCTGGCGGTATGTACATATATGTACTGTATATTTTAATGATTGTTCTCCGGCCAGAATCCGTGGCGTTCTCTGTCACACCGACAACTTGCAGTCGCATAATTTCATATTCAAACATGTCACCCTTTGGGCCGCACATAGCTCGCCGTTAATTAGGCGGGACCGTTTACTGGTCCGTTCCGAAATTCAAGGATTCCCATTGTGGCTCTGATTTTCTGTCCACCAAATGCCACAAATCGCGTCCTTGTCAGGGATCAGAAACACCAAATATAGCCCGTATGATTTTCGCTTCACTACTCAGATCGGGATCCACTGGAGCAAACTACTATGTATCGATCTTGTCTCGTAAGTCACACTGGTTTGGTATGTGGTTTCGCAGGCTGGGGCCGCCGGTCGTCGGTTAATGTGGTTTTTTTTGACGTAAATGATGTTTTTTCTTACCCACCATCCCCATCTTCAGACCAGCCGAGAGCGTAATTTGTGTTGCGGTCGGAGCCGTGGTGCGCATCGCCTAATCCAAAGACATCATTGTGTAGACAATTCCGATTAATGCCTATTATCATTTTCCGCAGGCTCACCTATTTACCCAAAGGCTCCACCGCGAGTATAGGCAGTTGCATGAGCTGAATTCAGTAAATGAGTAAGTTTTCTCTCGCCCGGGAATCGGGTTTTTCAGTAGAATCAATTTGTGAAGGTTGAAGACCGGTCATGATCTCAAAAGCACACCGAGGTCGATGTGTACGAACCATTTTGCAACGGTGGCTCCGAAGCTGGATGGCCGGCCCAAACCTTCTTGTGGCTAGTCGTGCTTTCTGATGACCTGCGCCGCGGGAACGATTCGATTCACGTAGAAGGCTGGATCAACTATGCTGCATCTTCAATTTCACCTTCAGCAAGAAGACTCGGCGACGTAAGCTCCGCAGGAATAAGTTCTACTTCTGGCAGACAACGACTCGGTGCCATCTCTCCCAAAAGAGAGACCTTTATGGCGACTGCGAGTACCCCCACCCACGGCCTTCCTTTCTCAGACTTGGTCATACTTGACCTAAAGTTACTTGCGACACCTGTTGTAGATCTCCCCCAAAACATACGGCTAGTACCCACGACGTGCGCTCTGGGCTGTATACAACGCCATACCTTGTGGTTAACGCTCAGTTCTTTTCCATTCCGGATGCGATGGGAACTTGATGATGATCGGCGACTATACTCGAGCCACCGGTATCTCGACTGCCGCACTCATCGCAGACAGAGAACAGCGTATCAAGAACCAAATCGTAGAACCAAATCATACGAAAGCTAGGGCATAATTCCCTCAGTTTACTGAGCTCTAATATTTCCCAGCTCGCTGTGACGCTCTTCACAGAAGTTGCAACTCGACCTCAGGTCCGGTATAGCGTGAGAGCGCTCCAATCCATTACCGCGCACAGACGATTCATAGAGACCACTACATTCGACAACAGGCTGATCAACCGTACAAAGGTTAGGTCACTATGCTCTCAGACTGTTTAGCTCTATTATCTCTCAGCTTGACGTGACGAGAGTCTCTTCAACTCGACTTCACGTCCGTGAGAGAGCTCCGATCCATTATCCCACAGTCGATTCGTAGAGACCACCATATTCGACACAGACCGACAACCCTCCGCTCGTCTTTTCTCCAGACTTCTCAGGCATTGATTCAGATCCGGAACCTGGCATTGCTTCTTGTTGTATGTTCCTGTCCTCGTGTGGCATCATGTACTAAACAGGCGACTGTAGGCCATGAAGGTAGCATTGATCTTCCCCTCAATGTAGCTCATTTCCCATTATCACAGATGATCATAACCGTGGGTTAGTAGAATATCAAAACAGCAGGTTCCGGCGTTCAGGTAGGTCCTCGGAATTCTAGATTACCGCAGGAGCCTGCCAGACAGGCGCATGCAACCATCGTCGTTGTGTAAAAGCCGAACTTGGACTTAATCATCAATGTCAGGTACTGACAACTAAGTTTGGTTGACGATTGAATGAATAGAATACAGATTCAATGGGTACAGGAACGAGTCTACATGAACGCCGGGTCCTACATATGCAACAAACGGGGCCACTACGCTGGCCACATGAACCGACACCTAAACCGTGTCGTAGTCAATGACGGTCTCATAGAACTCGGAGATGATTCGCTTCTGAGTTTCTCGACCTGTCTCGTTCTACAGAGAGACATAAATGACATGTCAAGCGCAAGCATGGCACAGGTGCATACCTCAGAATCACCAATCGGACGAATGACGAGGTATTTCCTCGAAGTCAGGATTTCCTCGCCAACCTCGCCAAAAGTGATAGTGTCTTTGCTCGAGTCAAAGATCTCATGGGAACCTGTGACTAACCCGCCTGCTTCTTGAGCAATGATTACTCCTGCGGCAACATCCCAGGGCCAGGGCCCGATTTCCCTAGGAACAGTCGCGTCAATATACACCCCATGCAAGTGGCAATTACTTACCAATACATGTCGAAAGCGCCTTGTGCAACGTATACAAAGTTCATAGCTGAGGTACCAAGAGACCGCAAGGAATGTGCCATGCGAGCCTTGTGGATTCCATTAGCGGCGTCGCTAACCAACCGGTGGAAGCTCTCGGCACGAGCAGCCAAAGGTGGAATACGACGATCGAAGCCCCATTCAACAGCTATGAGGCACCTGCGTCAGGCACATGCGCTGATAGAGGACTAATAGAATCTAACCTAGTTGTGCTTTGCTTAACGAGGGAAGGGGCTGAGGAGGGTTCGCAAAAGGTAACTTTCGGCGAACACCCTCAGGGCCTCCCTTAGTGACGTACGAACCACCACCTTTGATGCCCGTATACTTGAGATGCACGTGAGAAGATAAATAATACCGAAATTCGAATAATGTACCATAGTTTCGAGGAAGGGGTTATATATGATGCCCAGAACTGAACGACGTTCTACCAGTAGAGCGATGGAGAGAGCAACCATGGGGAAACCATGCACGAAATTAGTTGTTCCATCTAAGAAAAACGCGTCAACCCAGAGAAAGCAACCTAAACGTCTGTATACTAACCAATGGGGTCAACACACCACGTCGGCTCGTCTGTCCATTCTGGTCGAGCCCCCGCCGCATAAGATTCCTCGCCAATACTGTCAAGGAAGTTAATGTACATGAATAAACACGCTCCGGTAACAAGTATACGTACAATTGGAATGAGGGATACTTCTCCCCGAGTTTTTCTTTGACGAGTTCCTCGACTCTGACGTCGTATTC